CACTGCCGAGTTTTGAGCGCAGATAGAGCCGAAAGCGACGCCACTGCCGAGTCGAATGGTAAATGCTCCATGGCTCTAAAATATTTGCGTTTTCTTTTAGGTTCTAGATAGATTCGTTAAGGACCCATTGGACGATTTTTACTAGCTTTGTTGAAAAAGACATTGATACGGATGAAGATGTTACATCCCAATGGTTAGAAATAAAATAGTTAAATGCCATTAGGTTTCAGAAGAAAAAGACAGAGTTTATGAGAGTACGTTAAAGATCATGAAATAATTTTGCTACCAAATAATGAATGAAGCAAGCAAGAAGGAAGATTCTAACCTCATAATGAAATCAAATCATTTCCTTCAGTGAGTTCCAAATGTCGTGTGTTCGATTGTAGATTTAAGGATAATTAGAACTGACAGAATACGAAAGCAGGTCCCAACAGATGAATAATTCAGCATTATGTATACGTATATTGTGTGTATATGTCCCATATCTAAAACCGAGACTAGCGCCACATCTTTGTAATCAATTGACTTTGTCAGGAGTCTGTTAAGATCCAACATGAAAGAGCCTAAAAAAACTGAACATTTTCTGTTAGGTTGTTCATTTTTATCTACCAGGAGAATTGGATAATAAAACATTCACACTGTGTTGGAATTAAAATCAGGTTGATTGAAGATTTGAATGGACGCAATGGAAATGGGGACTGATCTGGAAAGAAAATCAGGGACAATATGACTTATGCCTTTACGATGGATTAAGTCAAAATCGACTTGTTGCAAACGGAGTTGCCAACGACTCAATCGACCTTGAGGATCCTTTAACCTATTCAACCATAAGAGAGACATGGTCAGTTATGACAGTGAAGTAAACATGATCTGAATAATGACGAAGTTTTTCGACGCTCCAAATTATTGCTAAACATTCTTTCTCAGTAACAGAAAGTTTAATTTCCTGTCTGGAAAGAAACCTGGAAAGATAGCAGATGACCTTCTCATCTTCGCCAAATTTTTGAGAAAGGACGGCTCCGAGTCCGAAAGATGATGCATCCGTGTGCAGATAGAATGGCTTCTCAAAATCGGGAGCTGTCAAAACAGGGGCTGTGACTAAACATTCCTTTAAGGCAATGAAGGAGTTTTGACATTCTGTGGTCCAGTTCCACTTGACGTTATTTTTGGTAAGATCTAAAATCGGTGACAATAGAAAGGAAAAATCAGGAACAAATCGACAATACCATGATGCAGTTCCTATAAAATGACGGACTTCATTGATATTTTGAGGCGGATGAAGATTGACGATGGCTTCTACTTTTTCTGGATCAGGGCCCAACCCTTTCTTATCAACCAGATAGCCCAGGTATTTTAATTCTGGCTTGCAGAAGTGACATTTCTTTAACGAAATAATTAGTCCGGCCTGACGCAAGTGGTCGAATACAACCTCCAAAAGTTGCAAATGTTCTGAAAAAGAGTTGAAAATGATCACCACGTCAGCAATGTAGCACATGACATTTGGTTCTGGAATAGGATAGTGTCAATGATTCTTTGCCAGTTTGCAGGAGCATTAGATAAGCCAAATGGCATCTGACAGAATAGGAAGAGTCCTCTGCCAGGGACAGTAAATGCAGTGTACTCCTTGAAAGATGTACTCAAAGGGACCTGCCAAAATGCTGACTTAATATCGATGGAACTGCTATATCGATTCTTCCTTAACCGATCTAAAATCGTTGAAATATATGGAAGAGGATATGCGTCTTTTTTTGTATATTTATTGACCTGCCTAAAATCGAAGCAAAATCTGAAGGATCCATCCTTTTTCCGAGCAAGGCACACAGGACTAGACCAAGGACTACTAACTAACTTCAAAATTTTCTCAACTTCTTCATCTATAAATTTTTGTTTGAAGGGAGAGACAGGGTAATACCTTTGTTTTATGAGTCTTATACCAGGAACTCAAATGATTTAATGCCCAGCTACCTTGCAGCAACCAAGTCCATTACCCATCTCTGCAATTTTCTGCTCTACAAGAGAGTCAAAAGCAGATCGTTCTGACGGAATCAAATTGTCTCTATCCTGGATAGACAAAATATCAGTCTCACCAGCAGACTCAAAAAAATGCCAAACATCTTGTCTAAGATCTGGGATAATATTCATAGTTTTCCAGAAGTCTATTGCAAGAATAACTTTATGTAGAAGTTCAGGAAGTAAGATGACATCAATAATGTGGGTTTTGTCTATTGAGGTTATGGGTGTCTGAATGTAACCTATACTTGTGCAAGTTTGGCCATTAGCCACAGTGCAAGAATTTTGTTGATCATCTTCCGCATGTGATACAATGTAGTCAAGAAGGCTATTAGCAAAATCATCATGGTTATTGGTCGCTGGGGTGTGTAGGAAAGAAATTTCGCGACCTAATGATTTCCCCTGCGACCAATTCCTCGAGTTGCCACATTTAGGACAATTCCTAACTGTGACGTTACAGTTACCACATCGATAGCAATGAGTTTTCCTAGGGTTAGGACAATCTCTATTTAAATGACCAGATTTCTGGCAATTCCAATAAATTAAATTGGGTAAATTACTTGGTGGTCTTGATCTTTGAGGACTATTGTTGGATAAATTAAAGGAATCTGCATCGTTGTTGAAGACAGAATTCGTCAAATCGAAGTTAGGTTGGTCGACCCCAACAAAGACAAAATCGGGTTCTATAAATTGTTGACGTATTCTGGAATGTGGAACATAATGTTCAACTCTATATTTCTTTGTATTTAGCTTAAGACATTCACGCCCTAGTTCTTCAAGTGAGTTAACAACTGGGAGTTGAGTTGTGTAGAATGGTGATAAATTCCTAGACAACATATCCAATTGGGTTTCAGGAGTCAATCCATCGTAACATCTAAACAAGGCCTGCATAGAAGACAGGTAGCCTACAATGCTTTCTGAGGTATCTTGGGTTCGCTCTAAAATTTCTCTAAAAAGTCTAACACGAAAATCAGGTGGTTCAAAGTGAAGACGAAGCAACTCACACAAAGTTTTCCACGTATCAAATCTGTCACGGTTTGTCCTTTACCAATTCAAGACTTCATGGAGTTATGTATGGAAGAAGATACGTGAAATTCATCAGCATCGAACTGTTGACTAAGTTCAGGATCAGCTCGAACAACTGCCTGAAAATGATCCAAAGCAGCCAAAACGTCAATGAGGAGTTCAGTCTACTCAGACCGTTCTTACGTTGAAAAAATAGTCAGGAATTCGTTTTACCAGCTCAAGCAAATGAACTAACCTTGATTGTGTGGAAATGAATTTATTTTGACTTGCCTCACCGGATATAGTAGGAATAACATTATTAGCCTCATCAAGAAATAGCCGAATTTGAACCTTCTCGACACCGAATATGGGGCAAAAGATCATGCTCCAGACTTATTCAATTTTAAAAGCGGTCGCAATATAGACCTTAATTCGTCAACAGTCTTCGTATCACTAACTGAACCACCTCGGACAATAATCTCATGAATTAGCATTTCCTTTTTTAGGTTCGAGATAGTGATCTTGTAATCCATTTTGTTTCAATAAATACGTTAAGCAATCAACAAGAACGATAAAGATAATTGGCTATTATGCACAGGGATTCGAAATATCTGTTACTCAAAAATAATTTAAAAAAAAAATTTAAAGATAGAAATTGAAATTTGATTCTATGCACTTAAAACAGGCAAAAGATAATGAATAATATAAATGGATATAAGGAAAAAAAAATTAATAAATAAAAGAAAAGAGAAAAAAATAAAATAAAATCTTTTACCACAAGGGCAGAAAACCTCTTATTCAGATGGCGGCCCCACGTTGGGCGCCAATTAATTTGCCACGCTTTTTCGGTGATGGAAAGTTTTTGAAAAAAAAATAAAATAAAATTGTGCCCCCACAATTCGAAGTCCCAATAACCGTAAAAACACCCAAAAATTTCGAAAAGTTCGCGCCTGCGCTACTTTGTGCCCGGTAGCCCTTGCGGTGAAGGTGCAAGGATCACTTTCTGCAAATTTGACCCCCTCTCCCAAGACAAAATTCTGGCTACGCCAACGGTGTTGCCGAAGCCGAGCTGCCGAAGATGCACGAACTTTAATAATATGCAGGGAAGATCAATGATCCAGCGTGGCGATCTTGCAGTGAAATGAGCATTTGTCAACTGGTTCTATTTAAGCCTTTGTGTAGAGCCTGGTTCTGTCCTGTCTGTATAATTGATTTTAATTAATTTTTGGAGCCCGAGCCCCCCTAGTAATTTTAAAATTCCGGCGCCTATGAATGGAAATAAAGAACAATACGAGAGTTATAATAATAGTAGCTAAGTTTTTGATATTTGTTTTTGTAAAATGGCGAAGGTAGACAATAGAGACCGTTTGTTTAATAATAATTTTTTCTACTGACGTTTCATAATAGCAACTTTTCGATTGTCATTTCAGTTTTGAAACGACATTCTTTTAGGCACTGAGTGCGTGAAAGTTACTTTTAGGCACTCAGTGCGTAAAGGTGACTTTTGAATGCGTAAAAGTGACTTATGAGTGCGTAAAAGTAATTTTTAAGCACTAGTGCCTAAAAGTGTCATTCATTATTCAGAAATAAAAAACACACTAAACACATATTTGAATTTTGTTTTGTATTTATTATGAATATTGAAAATGGAATTACTGAATTGAACGTTTGGGTTACTCAAAACAGAACTTTGTGTTATTACCTACTTTCTAGGATTTTAATTATTGATGTCGAATTTTGAGAAGAAAATCGCATGAAAAGTGTCAGGTGTCAAGTAAAAGCAGGTAACAAAGATTTTGGGTGTAATCGACTTATTCACATGAAATAAAATTGTGTTTTTTTATTATAAAATGCCAGTAGAAAAAATCTTGTATACAATACGTTTCGAAACGATGTCTTTTAGTCATTCGACGTGTTGTCCAACTCGGCTTTGCCTCGTTGGACAATTTTCACGTCGCGTGCCTAAAAGACGCTCATTTCGTAACTTATTGTATAAATAGCTATTTTTTATTGTTACTGTCATTCTGTTTGTAGAATAAAGTAGAGTAATTAAAACGTGTTATAGGGACGAGAAACGTAAGACCCCCAAACATAGTCCCAAAAGGCTGGTAAGTCAGATTTGAAGTGATATTTGAGCTCCAAGTTTTCTCCAATATCGAGATATCGGTGTTGGTCGTTAAGCGGTTCCCATTTAACGTTTTGTAATAATTCGCTAGATTCGTCCGGTGTGGGATTTCTAAAATAAAAATTTTGGTATTCAATAAGACTCAATATTCATACCAATTAAAACTATAGTTACCTAAATTTAGCAAAATTTGTCCATAATTTAACAGTTCTTTGTCTAGTTAAAAAGTCTGCATCTGTTTCAAGCGGTTTTGTGCTTATGTTGAATAAATAAGCAAGCTCGTCGCTATGAGCAACTCTTCCGCATCCTAGAAGAAAAATATATTTATGGATTATTATGAGCGTCGCAGAAAGATGTCTTCTGAAGAGAACGATTGCTGTGTCTTTGTCACTGCTATGCAAATCCTGAGTCTGCATTAATCTGAACTTAGAAAAATATAAAAGCCTGGAATACAAAATGTATAGGGTTCCTTTATGATGGCTTAAGGTGAAAAAAGAATCTAAGAAATTCTTCAGGAATCTAAGGCAATAGAGTTGTATACATCATCCTGAATATCAATATTAGCATCTCCCCAAACCTCATCAAGGTCTATACACCGACATCAACAATGGCTTTGGACGAAGCCAAAGCAGCAAAATCTATCACCATCAACGACTTTAATGCCAAATTAATAGGCTTCTAAGAATAATCGGAATAGAACAACAAAATCTTATGCTGAAAGAACGGAATGTCAAAGAATTGAATAAAGTACTCACTTACACTGTAAAAGAAGATACCTACATCATCGATTATGTCCCAGTTATCAACGAGAGAAGATGGAGTGACGGCTGAGATATTGTTTAACCTATACCTATTTGCAGAAAAATCAGAGGAATAGAAAAATAGCCTATTTAAAAAAAAAGTAACAGATCTATATCAAAAGTTATCATCAATATCGGCCCAGCTTCTTTCCAGGTGTCGATGAAAATGATCATTACTTGCTAATCACCCCAAATGAAACGCTACCAACCAACTATGGGGTTCGCTATGGCTCTGAGTATTTCTGACCATGAACCCTCCAATTGACTCACAATATAGAAAAATAACATTTACATTGACATTACTGCCGGAAGGAAACACTAATTCCATTTCAATTTGAACAGGAGATGATTCTGATAGAGGCAGATTTGAGATCACTTTGCGTGTTGGCAAGGATACATTCAAAAAACTTGACTGATCTACACAAACTATGGATATCTTACCAACTCCTAAAAGTTATAAAGAGCCACGGTTAATGACTATTGTCAATGGAACAGAATTGAAGAAGAAGGAATATTGGTCTTATCGAAATAATTAAAAATATGTACCTACCTGGAATAACAGGATGTGCCTGGCTGACGGTACCGTCAAACGAAAATACATAAAAATAGACAGGGCTGTACTTAGATTGGAGCAATGCATGTTTGAAGGTCGATCTTTCATAAACATCATCAGTTCCCCACTGAAAATGTTAATGGGTTAAGTACACATATTTATTAACCACTAACAGTGATTCACCCTAACAATAGCTCCGTAATCTTCAGCAAAAGTACCATTACCAACGTATTTCTGTTTAATCTCTTGCACTAGAGTATCCACATTGACGCTTTCTTTAAGTTGCAAATTTTTGGGTAGCAAAAGAGTGTAGTTTGAGTCGTAGTAGGCTGCCATCGCTTGAGCTTCTTCACTGCCTAAGTGTCAAAAAAATCATTATTTATTATTAGAAAAGTATATGAATTTTTTACTTGGAAATATAATAATTTCCTCTTCAGAGTTCGTCCCAATCAATGTCGGTACCTGATGAAAATTGCCTGATTCAAGTGACTCGTAACATGGTTTAGTTAGAAAAGGATACGGACTGCTCACTTCCAAAATTGGTGCAAACTAAAAATCAATTGAACCATTAATTTACTCTTCGTGTAATAATTAATAAATAAGTACAGACAGTAATTCCCAATTTGCTTGTTACATTGACTAACGAACCGGCATCTGTTACTTGAAGAGTTTTCAGGACATCTTTTGATGAACTAGATTCACTAATTGAGGAATCAACCTTCCTGGCAACATCGAAAGCATTTTGACGAGCATTGTACTGCACTAAAGAAAGAAGACTGCTTCCACTTTCCATTATAGCGGCACCAAATAAATCTGAAATTTAATTCTGACTGAAAACATTACACTAGACGAAATTTTTAGAAAACATACCTTTGGACATTGGACTAAGAATATGGTAACCAACTGAAGCTGCGCCCACACTCTCTCCAATTAGCGTTATATCCTGTGGATTACCACCAAACTGATGGATATTTTCTTTTGTCCAAAGCAAAGCTAGCCATTGATCTTTAAGACCATTATTTCCAGGCAAGACTTGGTCTTCTGTCGAGAGAAATCCAAATATTGCTAAAAATTAATAAGTTATGCAAATTTGGTAAAGAAACTTGCTTCAAACATACTCAGTCTGTAGTTAAAGGTTACTACAATGACGCCTTCTTCCAGAAATGCAGTTGGGTCGTAAATATTAAAGCTAGAGCTACCAGAAAAATATCCACCCCCATAAATGAAAAACATTACTGGCAAACGAGCCTAAATAATAAAAATAGAATGCGTTTGTTGAAACATCTTCATACTCACATTAGAATTTGGTTCTATTGGAGCATACACATTCACGTACAGACAATCTTCACTGAAACCATAAGTTGGTTTTGGGTCGGTATCAAAATAACTTTCATTTAAACAGGCCTTTGAATCTTTTGTAGCATCTAATACTCCATCCCAGGGTTCTGGACGTTCTGGGTGCTTTTAAACCAAAAAATAACATATTATTATAAAGTTAATATGAGAGAATAGGATTCTAGTTACCTTAAATCTTAAATCTCCTAATGGAGGTTTGGCAAATGGTATACCTCTCCAAGCGTAAAATGTTTTGCCACTTGGTGTACCAATAGTAGTTCCTTGGGCTTGTCCAGACTGTAGACTCACGATCAGATTCTGCGCCTGAAACATTTGGTTTGTCAATAAAAATTCTTTATATTCTTATTCCTAATCAGCACTATATTAAGTTCAGGGTTAATTTTTGTATTATAATTAGGATATTTTTGGGCCGGCTTTATTTTGCTGCGTCATCAATTTCTATAAAAAGTCTTTAAAAACTTCTGAAAATTCTACCACGAGAAAAAATATCCATATAAAATGAATTTAATACATGTACTTACTATACATTGATGGGCCGCAAAAACTACAAGGACTGTGATGACGCACCACATCTCTGAAATTTTTCAAACAATAAATCTAACTTATGTGTATTTGCTTCTCTTTAAATAGCATGTTCCTAGTAATAATTTTATCGCTAATAATTTGAAATTAACTCACTTGGATAACGGCGCACACAATTATTATTGGAAACACTTAAAACATAAGTAGCAGGTAGGTACTTAATTTTATGTAGGTTATTCTTGTGCTATTTGGAGGTGAAAGATCTAAGTCTTGGATAAACTGATATTCATATCAGTGAGCCAAAAATTAATAAATTAAACTTTGATTATTAGCTTATACTGTGCTAATTTATATTGCAGCTATGGATGTAAGATGAACAGATGAGGAATTGTTCACTTAAGAAAGGGTTTGTAATTCTTTGTCTTTTGATGTTGAGTCAGTTCTTATATTTAGTTCTACGAGTTCACACGCTCTGCTGTATTCGATAAAATAAATATATTGAGAATCGATAATTAACAAGTTCTTTTATTTCCTAGTCCATTTCCCAATACTAAGCAGAAACGTCACAGGTTTATACTGATACTTGATAAAAATCACAGTAACATTCGTATAGGTGTTAAGTAGCCACAGGTAGTTTCTCTGATATTCAAGTCCCAAGAGCTGAAACCACTCCTCACTCACCCTGTAGTGGTTAGTTATCTTACCTTGAAATGGGGTCAGTATCAGCAAATTTTTTGGGAAAATTTCGCCCTTTTTGCACTTTCCTCATGTATATTTATAACGAATATAATACTTATACAACACAATCAAGTTACCTAAACCCAATTGTAATGCACCATATGCAAAAATGGAACACACCTCATATACCAAACCGAACATTCCCCAATACCAAAACGGAATACGCCCTAACCTAAAAAGAAGAGGAAGAGAAAAAGTCTAACTTCACACTTCAAGTTTTGTTATTGTTGATAATCAGTTGTTTTTGCAATATTATTATTATTTCAACTTGTAAAATGTGAACATTCTATTTTGAGTAATAAATGTATTCTGTGTTTAATCCTTTTTTCCACGGTAGATACCCGTTATATTGGCGCCCAACGTGGGGCCTTGGAAGGATTATCAGATCTCTTTTTCAATGCAGTGTGCTGCTGCCCCCACAAAACAAAAATTCTAAAAAAAATTATAAGTGACTCGCCCCGATTTTGTTCTCGTGAGTGTCGGACAATTTTGGACTCCGAGCAATCCTACAAGTGACATTTTAGACTGTTGTGTTAAATTGATTCGACCCGATTTTGCTCCCGTGTGTGTCGGACAATTTTGTACTTCGTGCAATTGTTTAAATAGGTGTCCAAGACTGTAAGTAGTTAGATGTTATTTTGGTAATTCAGAGGAACCAGATAGTTCATCGATATTATCCACATCTAAAAGCCCGCTTTAGAAGCTTCCTTCTCGTAGAATTTGTAACCTAAATTACAATATGAGCCCTGTCACGTTAACAGACGAACAGTTTCAACAGCTTATGTCTCGCTTAACTGTAAGCCCTCAGCAACAGGCTGCTTATCAAACTCCAGCTCCTACAGGAAACTTAGCAAAATGTAATTCAAGGTTTGATAGTTTTTCAAATGCTGAAATTAACGCATTCATCGATGCAGTAGAAATTTATAAAGACTGTAGTCTAGTACAAGATGACAATACTCTTAAAGGTCTGCCTATGTTGTTTGATGGTTTAGCTGCGACGTGGTTCCAGGTCGTCAAATCGTCCTTAACCACCTGTAAAGATGCCATAGATTTGCTTCGGTCCACATTTGGCCCTATTAAGCCCCCTTATCAGGTATAGAGAACTTTTTTCACAAGAACAGGACTCTAAAACTAAAACTGACGCTTTTGTACGTGTACGGTTTCCAAGAAGTTTTAATACAAGCACGTCTAGCTGAAGAAAATTTTGAATCGCCTGATGTTAGTAAAATCACGGTTACTGAATTGAAGAGACAAAAGCGCTGCGTGTACTGCAAAAATGCCGGTCACGTCAAAGAAGAGTGCCGTAAACTGAAGAAAGCCCATGAACTTGGTAATTCTCCACAAAATATCATAAGAAACCCAGTTCATCAACAGTCCAAGGAAAAAGTTCCCCTGTGTCTTACTATCGATGTGGTGCTCCTGGGTTTATACGCAGTAACTGCCCTAACTGTTCAACCAAATATGGTTCTTCCAAAGGTTCTTCTAAAAACCGTGTCAGGGCTGCTGAATTTTTATATAATTCCTTCGCTCACCGACCATATTTCCAGCCTTTGGTGCCAGTTTCCATTTTGGACATGCTTACTTGGACACTGGTACAAAATCAAGTGTGGCTGGTTCTATATCATCGAAATTATTGATTGAACACAACGTACCCTATCATGTTATTAGCGACCTGGATATGACATTAGCTGATGGTGTAAAAAGGAAGGTCACAGCCGAGGTCACAGCTAATATTTTTTAACTAAGCATAGATCTACAAGGTAAATCAATCCAGATTTTGTCCATTCCTGATCATGAAAACAGCCGTATGCTGCTTGGGGTGGATTTTATCCAAGCAGCCAACCTTAACCTCATAAACCATACACTTTCTGCTCCGAAGAAGACATAGCTCTATAACTACAACTACACAGTGTCGATTTTTCAGAAATTTCTCTCCAAGAGACTGAAGGTTTTTCCTTGCAGACAGAGGAAAAAGAGAAGCTGAATGCTATATTGTGCCAGAACGTCAGCGTTTTCGAGCCCAATAGCGAACCTACTCCATTTGCAGAGCATGCAATTGTTTAATTGAACGATAATCCTATATTTATACCGCCTTGCCTTGCGGAGATAAAGAAGCAGCAGCTGCGCACTGAATTGGACAAGAGTGGTACCATAGAGGAGTGTGAGTCGCCCTAGTGGTCCTTGTGCCCAAGAAGAATGGTGGGATCCGATTGGTAGTGGATTACCGACAACCCAATTCAATTACCAGAGCAGATCGGTACCCATAACCAAGAATAGACGACTTATTACAAGAAGCGAAAAAGACTCAATTTATGACGATATTAGATCTGAGAAGTAGATACCATCAAATAAGTGTGAAACTCGGAGATAGAGATACAGATTTTGTTACACGATTTGGAACATTTAGATATACTAGAATGCCTTTTGGTCTTTCCACGCCCCTCCCACTTTCCAGAGGCTCATGGATCGTTTTCGTGCTGGCCTACCTGACATTTTTATGTTGGTGTATCTTGACGACCTGGGCCGGTATTCTCATTCTCAAAAACGCTCACCGCTTTCTAGTCGCTCAGCACTTTTAATGTGAATTTACATTGAAAGTGCCGAGCGACTAAAAAGCGCTGAGCGTTTTTGAGAACGAGAATACCGGTTCTGATCAGTCATTTCATCGAATTACACAGATCTAGAAAAGATTTTCAATAAATTGAACTTGTTCAAACTCAAGTTAAATTGTATTAAGTGTCATTTCTCCTGCGATTCGATCAAGTACCTTGGACACGTAATCACCCCAAAAGCGATCCTTTCCGATAACACCAACGTTGCTGTCATTATGCATATGCCACCACCCAAAAACGTCAAAGAGCTCTCAAGTTTCCTGCAAACCTGTTCCTGGTTCAGGATATTTATCGACAATTTTGCCAGTATTTCCAAACTTCTCACATGACTCTAAATAATAAAAATAGAGTGCGTTTGTTAAAGCATCTTCATACTCACATTAGAATTTGGTTCTATTGGAGAATACACATTCCTGTACAGACAGACAATCTTCACTGTAACCATAAGTTGGTTCTGGTAGGCCTTCAAAATAACTTGTATTCATACAGGTCTTTGAATCTTTTGTAGCATCTCAGGGTTCTGGACGTTCTGGGGGCTTATAAACCAGAAAATAACAATATGATAAAGTTTATATGAGAGGATAGGATTCTACCTTGAATCTTAAATCTGCTAATGGAGGTTTGGCGAATGGTATACCTCTCCAAGCGTAAAATGTTTTACCACTTGGTGTACTAATAGTAGTCCCTTGGGCTTGTCCAGACTGTAGACTTATGATCAGATTGTGGGCCTAAAATATAAGGTTATTTCTTCTTATTCTTAATCAGCCCCATAGATTTATTATTAAAAATTCAACCAATAAAAAATATATGTAAAATAAATTAAATATACTCACGATACATTGATGAGCCGCAAAAACTACAAGGACTGTGATCACGCACTACATCTCTGAAATTCTTTAAACAATATAACTAACTTATGTGTATTTGCTTCTGTTTAAATAGCATATTCCTAATAATAATTGTTATCGGTAATAATCGGAGATTAACTCACTTGGATAACACATGGTAATTCTTCAAACAATAAAACTTATTTATGTGTATTTGCTTTTCCTCAAATAGCATGCTCTTAGCAATAATTGTTATCGCTAATAATTTGGATAACATATAATTCTTCAAACAATAAAACTAACTCATGTGTATTGCTTCTCCTTTCATCACAAGTTATACTGATGCTTAATAAATATCACACAATTCGTATAGGTGTTAAGTAGCCGCGTGTCAGGTTCATTAACACTATAATCATCCCTATAATAAAAATAAGTACCATTGGAAAGTCTTTCTAGCGGTAAGCGTCAAACAATCTTATCTTTTGTTCTGACATGTCAGAAAGACACAAAATTTTTTCTACTACCAATCAAATATGTGTACAAAAATAGATTTAGACAAATACTTTACGCACTAGTGCGTGAAGTATTTTCACTTTACGCACTAGTGCGTGAA